GAGGAGCAGCTGGCCACAGGCATTCACTCATAGCCTTGAGGCAACAAGCGAGACTCTGTCCTCAAAAAAAATAAAATAAAATAAAAAATAACAGAGGCCCGGGAAGAGGCGCTTGCCCTCTGCCACGTGAGGACACGGCTGTTCAGTGCCAGGGCGGACCAGACACAGAGTCCTCGCGCCTTGATCTTGGGCTTCCCGGCCCCAGAACTACGAGACACGATGCTCGTTGTCCGGAAGCACGCCGTCTACGGCGTGCCGTGCAGCAGCTAGCACGGCCTGAGACGCTCAGAATTTCTGGATTCTCTCCACCCTGCTTGGCCGAGGTCGCCCTCCTGGCGGACACCCCCTTCAGGACTTGCGGACTCTACCTTCTCTGCCTGGGACGGACACAGGGTGTCGGTCCACCCCTCCTGCCTCCGCCTCCCCACTCCTTCCGTCCCCGACTCTCCTCCCTAGACCCCCACACACAACCTGCATCCTCTCCCCTGGACTGCCCACCTGCCCCTTCACTGCTCGCCCGAATGCCTCGGCCAGCTGCCGCCCCCGGCGACCTGCAAACCACCTGACCCGCGTCTCCCACGCCACGCCGTGCCCTCCAGCCGCTGCCCAGCTCCACGGCTCACGGCGCGCCGAGCGCTTCCTGCTCGCTGCTTGCTCATCTCGCTCCCCGGGCAGCCACTGCTACTCCGTTCTTTGGAGGACACTGCCGCTCCAGGGCCTGAAGTCACCCAGGTCCTTTGGTTCCAAAGCCCGCTGTTCAATACATCGTGGCATAAGATCTATCGTGACACATACGAGATGTTTCTGGTCTCTCATTTAGGTAATACGTAGACATAACTACCCGATTCCAGAGAGCCAGTTTACTTGTCTAAGTCACACAGGCAGTCTGGCTGACTCCAGAAGGCCAGCGTTTTCTTTCTGCCCCACCTGCTCTACCCCTCTCCCCAGATACCTGGCAGAGTGAGCAAAGATGTCAGCCTCAGGCCAGGGTGGCCCACCCGTCTGTGCCTTCCTCCCGCCATGGGGATATCTGTCCAGCGGAGAGCTGGGTCACATGGCATGGGTTCGAGCTTTGCACATCGGGGGCAAGTCCCTCCGGGAGGACTGCCAGTGCTCCACCCACATCCCTGCACCCTGAGCCGAGCCCCGGAGTCCCGTATTAGGGGACCAGATGCCACATAAGTTTCTGCACCAAATGGAATCCACAGCTACCGTGGCCGCTTGGGGAAAGACAGCCACACTCCCTGTGCCCTTCTTTCTCATTTCCCTCTATTTTTGCCAACCCCGGGGGTGGTGAGAGACCCCGGTGTTTGAAGACACTCACATTTAGGGAGACCTTCTGCAAGGGCCCTTGAAATGGCAGAACTCCTTGGCACTCCTGGGCCATCAGGTGGCGAGTCTTGGGCTGCCTCTGTTGCTCCAAATCACCATCGCGCTCACAATATCTAGACAGCGGCCTCCCACATTTTTTTTTTTTGAGACAGAGTCTCGCTTTGTTGCCCAGGCTAGAGGGTTTAATTGCCAACTAAAAAATAGTATATAAGAAAAATTAGCCGGCGTGGCGGCGCGTGCCTGTAGTCCCAGCTACTCGGGAGGCTGAGGCAGGAGAGATCGCTTGAGCCCAGGAGATTGAGGTTGCTGTGAGCGAGGCTGACGCCACGGCACTCACTCTAGCCTTGGTGACACAGTGAGACTCTGTCTCAAAAAAAAAAAAAAAAAAGAAAAAGACATTAAATGTATTTCTTCTTTGTTAAAAAAAAGTAGAAAAAAAGTGACATTTTTGCTTTTGACATTATTGAGGCGCTGGAGGCTGACGCCACGGCACTCACTCTAGCCTGGGCAACAAAGCGAGACTCTGTCTCAAAAAAAAAAAAAAATAAAATAAAAAATAACAGAGGCCCCCGAGAGGCGCTTTGCCCCTCCTGCCACGTGAGGACACGGCTGTTCAGTGGCAGGGCCGGACCAGACGCAGAGTCCTCCGGCGCCTTGATCTTGGGCTTCCCGGCCCCCAGAACTACGAGACACGATGCTCGTTGTCCGTAAGCCACGCCGTCTACGGCGTGCTGCTGCAGCAGCTAGCACGGCCTGAGACGGCTCAGAATTTCTGGATTCTCTCCACCCTGCTTGGGCCGAGGTCGCCCTCCTGGCGGACACCCCCTTCAGGACTTGCGGACTCTACCTTCTCTGCCTGGGACCGGACACCGGGTGTCGTCCACCCCTCCTGCCTCCGCCTCCCACCCTCGGCCAATCTGCCGCCACCCTCCTTCCCGTCCCCGACTCTCCTCCCTAGACCCCCACACACAACCTGCATCCTCTCCCACCTGGACTGCCCACCTGCCCCTCCACTGCTCGCCCGAATGCCTCCTCGGCCAGCTGCCCGCCGCCCCGGCGACCTGCAAAGCCACCCGACCCGCGTCTCCCACGCCACCGCCGTGCCCTCCAGCCGCTGCCCAGCTCCACGGGCTCACGGCGCGCCCAGCGCTTCCTGCTCGCTGCTTGCTCATCTCGCTCCCCGAGGCAGCCACTGCTACTCCGTTCTTTGGAGGACACTGCAGCTCCAGGGCCTGAAGTCACCCAGGTCCCTTTGGTTCCAAAGCCCGCTGTTCAATACATCGTGGCATGAGATCTATCGTGACAGGTACGAGATGTTTCTGGTCTCTCATTTAGGTAATACGTAGACTAACTACCCGATGCCCAGAGAGGCCAGTTTACTTGTCTAAGGTCACACAGCAGGTCTGGCTGACTCCAGAAGGCCAGCGTTTTCTTTCTGCTTTCACCTGCTCTACCCCTCTCCCCAGATACCTGGCAGGTGAGCAAAGATGTCAGCCTCAGTGCCCAGGGTGGCCCACCCGTCTGTGCCTTCCTCCCGCCGTTGGGGATATCTGTCCAGCGGAGAGCTGGGTCACGTGGGCATGGGGTTCGGGCTTTGCACATGGGGGGGGGCAAGTCCCTCGGGGGGACTGCCAGTGCTCCCACCCCCATCCCTGCACCCTGAGCCGAGCCCCGGAGTCCCGTATTAGGGGACCAGATGCCACATAAGTTTCTGCACCAAATGGAACCACAGCTAGCCGTGGCCGCTTGGGGAAAGACAGCCACACTCCCTGTGCCCTTCTTTCTCATTTCCCTCTATTTTTGCCGACCCTGGGGGTGGTGAGAGACCCCGGTGTTTGAAGCACTCACTTTAGGGAGAACCTTCTTCAAGGTCCTTGGAAATGGCAGAACTCCTTGGCACTCCTGGGCCATCGGTGGCGAGTCCTTGGTGCTCCTCTGTTGCTCCAAATCCCACCATGGCTCACATATCTAGACAGCGGCCTCCACATTTTTCTTTTTTTCACATAGCACTTTTATAGTTAAAAGCATTTGTGCCATATACTCATGCTTATTTTTAAATTATGTACATGTGCTACAGAGATAAGATGTAATATTTTACCTAATGTACAACATTTTGCATAATACGCAGTATTTTACATAAACATAACCTGTGAATATTAATTTATAAAAGGCGAGGATGGCACAAATACAATTTACGTGGATCTTTAATTGTGGGAGGCTTCATAGTAGTCTCAGCTTATGCTTCTACGCACATATCAAGGTTAATAATGTTGGCAGGGCGCGGTGGCTCACGCCTGTAACCCTAGCACTCTGGGAGGCCGAGGCGGGAGGATCGCTCGAGGTCAGGAGTTCGAGACCAGCCTGAGCAAGAGCGAGACCCCGTCTCTACTATAAATAGAAGGAAATTAATTGACCAACTAATATATATAGAAAAAATGAGCCGGGCATGGTGGCGCATGCCTGTAGTCCCAGCTACTCGGGAGGCTGAGGCAGGAGGATCGCTGGAGCCCGGGAGTTGGAGGTTGCTGTGAGCCAGGCTGACGCCACGACACTCACTCTAGCCTGGGCGACAGAGTGAAACTCTGCCTCAAAAAAAAAAAAAAAAAAAAAGGTTAATGTCAATGCATCCAAATCTGTGCTCCTGACAATTTTGAGGTTTGGAGGGCTGACATCTACCCCAGCTGTTCCAGCCATCAATTGCTGCTGTAACAAATAACCTCAAAAGTTAGTGGATAAAAGCAACAATGTTAATTTTGCTTATGAATCATCAATTTGAGCAGGGCTTGGCAAGGTCAGCTGGCCTCTTCCACTCGAAGGCTGGGGGGCTGGGGTCTGCTGAAGGCGCCATGTGCTCTGGCTGGTGGGTGGACCTCGGCGGGGGCTGGGCTGGAACGCCCGCGCACGGCGCCTCCCTGTGACTGCTGGGCTTCCCCACAACATGGCCACCGGCTTCCAAGAGCCAGAGCCAGGTGGAGGCTGTACCGCCTTTAACTGCAGCCTTGGAAGTCACATAATGCCACTCTATCTTAGTCACAGCCTGCCCCCCCCTCGTTTTCTTGCTTACTCCATGGTCCTATGTTTTGTTCTAAAAAATTTATTTATTTATTTTTTAATTTGTTTAATATTTTATATTTTCTTTTTTAATTATTATAATTTTTATTTTTAAAAAATATATCTATTGTGATGAAACTAAAAACCTTATTTTTTCTTTTCTTTTTTTTTTTTTCCTTTTAGTTCATCATATTATGGAGATACAGATATTGTTAGGGTTACAAATATTGCCCCTGCCCCCTTGCCTCCCCTGGATATGTCCAACCCCCCAGTGGTGTGCACCACACCCCTTTCCTCCTCCACTCTCCCGCCTGCCCACCACCCGATAAAAAGGTTTTGTTTTTTTTTTGACATTTTGGTTACATTGGAAACTAAAAACTTTAAAGTGTTAGCTTTTACCTTCAAGTTTATGATCCATCTCAACTCAATGTTTGTATATGGTCTGAGGTAGGTCAAGGTTAATTTTTTTTTTTTTTCTTTGAGAGTATCCAGTTGCTTCAGCACACTTTGTTGAATAGATTCACCTTTCCCCCAGACTGCAGAGCGTATGTAGAGAATCAATTGACTGAATATGTGTGGGGCTATCTATCTCTGGACTCTGTTTTGTTGTGAAATTAGGTAGTGAGTCCTTTAACTTTGCTCTTTCCCCCCTCCCCCACAATTTTCCACTTATTCAAGGTCACTCTTGTAATTTCTATATAGATTTTAGATTCAGGCTGTGAGTTTTTGTGAAAATTGTATTGGGATTTAGGTTAGGATCAATATACAGATTTATAGATTAATTTGGGGAGAATAAACATTGTAATAATTTTGAGTCTTATCCATGAACATGGTATAGCTCCAAATTTATTTTAAAAAAATTATTTCAAACATTTGTTGTATTTTTCTTTTCTTTTTTTTTTTTTTTGAGACAGAGTCTCGCTTTGTTGCCCAGGCTAGAGTGAGTGCCGTGGCGTCAGCCTAGCTCACAGCAACCTCAATCTGCTGGGCTCAAGCGATCCTCCTGCCTCAGCCTCCCACGTAGCTGGGACTATAGGCATGCACCACCATGCCCGGCTAATTTTTTATATATATATCAGTTGGCCAATTAGTTTCTTTCTATTTATAGTAGAGACGGGGTCTCGCTCTTGCTCAGGCTGGTTTTGAACTCCTGACCTTGAGCAATCCACCCGCCTTGGCCTCCCAAGAGCTAGGATTACAGGCGTGAGCCACAGTGCCTGGCCTGTTGTATTTTTCAATGTAAAAGTCTTGCACACATTTATTACATTTATTTCTAGTTATTTTATGGGTTTTGATGCTATTATAAATATTATTGTTTTGAAAATGTCACATTCCAATTATTCGCTGATAGCACGTGGGAGTATAATTGATTTTTAATAGATTGAACTTGTCCCCTACATTTGCTATATTCATTTATTAGTTCTAGTAGTTTGTAGATTTTTTTGAGTTTCTATGTACACAATCAGGTTGCCCGAAAGAGGACAGTTTGAAGAAATCTTTATGGCTTTATTTCTTTTTCTTATCTACTGGTTAGAACCTCCCGTGCAATGTTAAATATAAATGATGAGAGCAGGCATTCTTGTCTTCTCCCCAGTCTTAGAGGGGGAAGAATTCAGTCTTTCACCATTACGTTTGATGTTAGATGTATGTTTTTTTGTATGTATTATTTATTATATTGAAGAATTTTCCTTCTGCGTGTAGTTTGTTGAGTTTTTTTTTTTATTATTTTACGATTGCTGGGTATTGAACGTTGTCAAATGCTTTCCCAGTGTCTACTGAGATAACCTCTTGCTTCTCTCTTTCCTTCTGCCACTATCCTGCGTTATACTAATAGACTTTTCAAATACCAAATGGCAAATCCCGCTTGTACTCTTGAAGTAAACCTCGCTTGGTCATGATGATCTTTCTTATGCACGATGGGACATTTCACTACTATTTTTCTGCAGGGTTTTTTTTTACGGCTGTGTTGATGAGGAATGCGGGTCTCTAATTTTATCCTCTTCTAAAATCCTCGTTGGGTTTCGCTATCAGGGTCTCTCTGGCTTTATCGAACGAGCCAGCAAGTGTTTCTGTCTTGCCTTCACGAATCTGTGTGAGACTGGCGTTATTTTCTTTCTCCTGCAGTTGAAAGAATTTAGCGGCCAAGAGGTCAGGCCTTTGACCCGAAGCCGCGTCCGCCGAGGACCCTGGCCAGAGCGGCCCGGACCTCCCTGTTCCTCAGGCTGTAGATGAGGGGGTTGAGCGTGGGGGTGACGAGGCTGTAGAAGAGAGAGGCCACGTTGTCCCGCCGCGGGCTGTGGTAGGGGCCCGGCACCATGTACACGAACACGGCGGCCCCGTAGAAGAGCCCCACCGCGGCGAGGTGGGAGGAGCACGTGGCGAAGGCTTTGTGCCGGGCCTCGGCCGAGCGCATGTGAACCACGGCCGCCAGCACGCGCCCGTAGGAGGCCGCGATGAGCGAGCTGGGCACCAGCAAAATCAGCACCCCGGAGGCGGACAGCGCCCGCTCGTAGGCTGAGGTGTCCGCGCAGGACAGCCTGAGGAGGGCCGGCACCTCGCAGAAGAAGTGGTCCACGGCGCGCGAGGCGCAGTAGGGGAAGTGCAGGGTGGCGGCCGTCTGGGCGCAGGCCACCAGCGCGCCCGAGAGCCAGGACGCGGCCGCCATGAGCAGGCAGACCTGGCGCCTCATGAGCACGGCGTAGCGCAGCGGGCGGCACACGGCCACGTAGCGGTCGTAGGACATGAGGGACAGCAGGACGACTTCGGAGACGCCCATCAGCATCAGGAAGAACATCTGAGCCGCGCACCCCCCCAGGGAGATGGAGCCCCCGCCCTGCAGGAAGTCGGCTGCCATCTTGGGGATGGTGACCAGCAGGAACCCAGCGTCCAGCAGGGACAGCTGGCTGAGCAGGAGGTACATGGGCGTGTGCAGCTTGGGCTGCGTGCCGATCAAGAAGAGCAGGACGCCGTTGCCCAGCAGGCCCACGCCGAACGTGGCGGCCACCAGGGAGAACAGGGCCAGGTGTGGCCCCGTGTGGCTGAAGAGCCCCGCGAGAATGAAATCTGTGGCCGTGGACCGATTCGATCCCTCCATCCTCCTCTGGGAGGCGTCGTCCACCTGCGGGAAGAACAGCGCATGTGGCCAGGGGTCTCCTCGGGTTAGTTTCATCTTTCACGCGGACTTCGACTGTTCCACGGTGGCCGCCTGGGGTCCCTGCTGCAGAAAGGGTCTGAGCAGCTCAGGCTCAGTGAGAGAGAGAGAAAAAAAATAAATGCCGTGATTGGTCCTTATGTCTGCTCTGGTCGGGAGATGGGGAACAGTGACATCATGTCCTGTTTTGCCATTTCTGACTATAAGCCTTTCCTCCCCCCTCCAGAAACACGCTCCTACAAACGCCTGGAGTTAAACCGTCTGGCCCCAGGCTGGCAAAGACACACAGGACAGCCCAAGTGAAACGCCAGAACTCAGCCCACCCCGGGTTCTCTGGGGCCAAAGCCAAGGTGAGATTCTGCGGAGTCTGGAATAAGACGTAGGGAGACCTTGCCCAGGATAATAAGGGGGGATGAGGCTGGGTTTTAAAAACTTAAGTCTAGAACCACGAGGAAGGGCTTGTTTCCAAATTATCGTGGGAGGAGGAGGGCAGAGCCGAAGTCTGCGATGAGGCAGAGGTGGGATGACGTTTAGGACGTGGACCCAGGGACATGTGAGTGGCTGAGGCTGGAACGCCTGGGTCCCTGTGCGGTGCCGGGCGTGAGAAGCCGTCCGGAGCATCAGCCATCTGTGGGAGGGTTGGTTTCGGAGGGTGGGAGCGGAGGACATTGCGCTTGGCACGTACGAAGTACCCAACAAAACCAGCTGCATGAATGAATGCGGTGGACAAGAACGACGGCCGATGACATGATGGATCAGAGGCGCTGGCCTGACCTAGCAAAGGATATTTGATGTTCTGACTCTCAGCCTCACCTTCCAATGAGCAAACTCCTACCGTCCTGAAATGCCATTGGCACAGGTCGCTTCCAACGCTGAGAACTTCTGGAGGCAAGGGGCCTGTCCTGCCATCGTTAGCGGGGAGAGACAGAGGAGAATAGAGAGATGGAAGGAGAAGCTGGCTTTTCCAGACCAGGAGGGTCGAGCCTGGATGGGTGCGGTAGAGGCCGGCTTTGCCAGATGCCCAAAGAAGTTGGGCCACCTGAAAACCAGGAAGGGTCCCTGTTGCGTGGGTGACTACTCAAGGTCCTCTGGTGCCCACCTCGGTGATGCTCCTTACCTTGGACATCTTTTAGGTTCTCCAACTTGATTCTCTCTAATCGTGAATCTTGGTGAAGATGTTTGTCCTTTGCCTATCCTCTGCCTGCCACCCCTAGCTCTAGCTCTTTCCCTTGCTCACCTTCACGTCACACTGTAGCTGGCATTTAAGGATTTCTTGTTTTTTTGAGATGGAGTCTCACTCCATTGCCCAGGCTAGAGTGCCGTGGCATCAGCCTCACTCACAGCAACCTCAAACTCCTGGGCTTGAGCGATCCTCCTGCCTCAGCCTCCCGGGTGGCTGGGACTACGGGCACGCACCATGATGCCCAGGTAATTTTTCTATTTTTTTTAGCAGAGACAGGGTCTCACTCTTGCTCAGGTTGGTCTCAAACTCCTGAGCTCTAGCGATCCTCCTGCCTCGGCCTCCCAGAGTGCTAGGGTGACAGGCGTGAGCCACCGTGCCTGGCCTTAAGGATTTCTTAAATTACTATGCATCCTGATTGTTGTCCCCAACTATTCATTCATTCCGTGACAGTTAATTGTCACTGAATGAGCTCCTCCTTAGTGCAAGTCGCCGAAGGAGGCAGAAGGAACACGGTAGTGAAAAAGATGAATGAGGTCACACTTCCATGCACGAGGCTCAGAGTCTCATTGCAGAGAGAGAGAGAGAGAGAGAGAGAAGAAAGAAATAAACCATATACTTTTTAAATAGAAAGAAATGTAAAAAACATAAACAGAATGACCGTCTAGGAACCCCCCGTTGGGGACAATATCTCTGGATGGCATGGTTCAGGGAGGTCTTTCTGGACAGGTGCCTGCTGCTGTCGAAATCTGACAAACTGCTATGAGAAGGGGAGGGAAGCCCTAACTAGCCCACCTCACCTGTGCATGGAACGAGACAGGCCAGTCGTGGTTCTGCCGAACAAAACCTTCTACAAGAGTGAAAGCTGCCCAACTGTAGCGCGTAGAGCTTCAGGAGGTCGAGTCTGTCTTGTGCAATTAACAGCGGGAGGGCTGGAAGTACAAAGAAGCCTGAGCACGGCCTGCAAAGCACTCAGAGTCTGGCAGGGATGCAAGGAGCTAAGCAAACCAGTTCAGGACCGTATGAAAAGAGAAGCAACAGAGACATATACACGATGCTGTGAGTTCCCCGAGAGGTCTAGAGCCCAATTTTGCCTGGGGGGGAGGGGTGCAGGTGGTTACAAAAAAAAAAAAGTCACAAAAAAGCAGACCTTTCAGCTGAGTATTGAAAACCAGCGGGAACAATTTTCTGGGCAGATAGAGCAATCAAAGTCATTCTCCCAAGAAGGAAGATGGTGAGTATGGATTGTTTGACATGTCGTTAAAAGAATACACTCTGGGCTTAAGCAGCAATATCCGAATGTCAACTCAGCCGCGTCCTAGGCTTGTGGCTTTGGGCATTATTCAACCTTCCTGGGGCTCGCTTCCCAAACTGTACGTGGGGCTAAACAACACCATCCTTGCAGGAGTCACTGTGAAGATGAAATGAGATAACGAATTAAAGAACTTAGCACAACGACCCGCATATGTTGGTGTGGATGCGGAGAGAGGGGAACACTCCTCCACTGCTGCTGGGACTGCAAACTAGCTCAACCTCTGTGGAAAGCAACATGGAGATGCCTTACAGCGATGCAAGGAGATCTACCGTTTGATCCGGCAATCCCATTGCCGGGCATGTACCCAAAGGAACAAAAGGCGTCCTATAAAAACGACACCTGCACTCGAATGTTTACAGCAGCACGATTCACAACTGCAAAGTTGTGGAAACAACCCAGGTGCCCATCAATACACGAGTGGATTAATAAAACGTGGCGTATGTATACCAGGGAGTACTATTCAGCTATAAGAAACAACGGCGATCTAGCACGTATGGTAGTTTCTCGATTTAAGTCCAGAACCGTTATTTATATTGTGAAGGAAATGCAAACATCGAAAGGGTTGGCCGTGTGACTCCTGATAGCCCTTTGTGTGGTAAGGTGCCGCAAGCCTGGAGCTCAGCTGGGTGCCTGGTGTTTGGCGAGACCGCTCGGCACTCCTGCCGCCTGTTCTCGCTGACGCCATTTCACCGTCCTAACACCGGTCCGGTGCGCGGCAAACGCGGACCGAAGCCAGCTCATGCTCAGTCAAGCTCTCCTGGGATGACAGTTCTTCTCTTCGTGCCCCGACTCGGTGCTCCCAGCCAGGGGCGATTTTCCCTCCTTCTCCCCTCCAAGGGGACATCGGCACTCTCTGGAGACATTTCTGGTCATCACAGCCAGGGGGACGCTGCCAGCACCGAGCGGCCGAGACCGGGAAGGCTGCTCTACATGCGGCCAAGCACAGGGCAGCCCCATGGCCAACGATGATCTGATCCCAAATGTCAACAGTGCCACGGTCAAAGGACCTTTCGTGGAAGCCCGTCAGCCCCTTTCTGATATCGGATGGAGCCTCTGAGCAGTCTCTTGAGCCCACTGACTTGGCGTTCCTGCAGAGGGGAGCTCCATGTCACATGAAAGACTAGAGAGTTCTCTGGGGAAACTGCACCTCCATCTCTGTTTTTTTTTTTTTTTTTAGACAGAGTCTCACTCTGTTGCCCAGGCTAGAGTGAGTGCCGTGGCGTCAGCCTCGCTCACAGCAACCTCAGACTCCTGGGCTCCAGCGATCCTCCTGCCTCAGCCTCCCGAGTAGCTGGGACTACAGGCATGCGCCACCACACCCGGCTAATTTTTGTATATATATTAGTTGGCCAATTAATTTCTTTCTATTTATAGTAGAGACGGGGTCTCGCTCTTGCTCAGGCTGGTTTCGAACTCCTGGCCTCGAGCGATCCACCCGCCTCGGCCTCCCAGAGTGCTAGGATGACAGGCGTGAGCCGCCGCGCCCGGCCCCCATCTACATTTTAAAGGCGCTGTTAACCGAACCAAGCTCGGCTTACCTCGTGGAGGAGTTTCGCCGCCCCGCACCTCCGCCTGGAGGAGGGCTCGTTCTTTAATCCTCACCCTCCGAGGCCAGCCCACGGCCTGGCGTTCCTTCCGGACCGCGACAAAGGATTTTCAAGCGGACGAGAGACTCGCTTCTTCTCTTTGGACACCTGTCCCCACTCCCATCCTTAAAGGCGAAAAGGGAAGTTGGCGACTGTTAGGCTTTCACCGTAGACCACGGTCCACGTTACGGTCATGCAGGGCTGATGGGTTTCAGCTGGGGGGTTTCTGAACCGTGGCACAGTTGACATTACAGCCTGGACAAGTCTATGTATTTCAGTCATTAAGTTTCACCTGATGCTCAGCGGCAGGTGTCGTCATCGTGCGTGTTGTGCGGATGAGGGGACGGGGAGTCCCGGGAAGCAGAGGGACTGGTCGATCTCGGTTGAATGATGTCCTCCGGTCCCCTCAAATCACGCGCACCTGCAAAGCAAAAAAATGTGGCCTCGTCTGGCAATGGTGCCTTTGCAAACGCAGTCAGTTAAGATCTGGAGACGAAATCCTCCTGCAGTCCGTGTGTGCCCTGAAGCTAGTACCCGGTGTCCTTATCGGAAGAGGAGGGGACACAGAGAGAGAAAGCAAAGCAGACCACGGGAAAACAGAGGCAGAGGTTATCAGGGTGATGCGTCTACAAGCCCAGAAACACCTGGAGCCAGCAGGAGCCGGGAGAGGGCCGTGGGAAGGATTGTCCCCCCAAAACTGCAGAATGGGTCCACTCTGCCTGTCCCAGCCTGCCGGCCTTCAGAACGGGGACAGAATACATCTTAGGCTCCCCCCCAGTTATCTCAGGCTCCCCCCAGTCTGTGGTACTTTGTTATGGCGGGAAACTAAGGCACCAGCCCACGATCGCCCCGAGAACGAGTGGGAGAATCAATTCATACTTAGTTTTTTTTTTTTAATTAATTTCTTTTTCTAAAGATGGGGTCTTGCTACATTGTCCAGGCTGACCTACAACTCTGGGACTCACACAATTCTGCCACCTCGGCCTCCCAAAGTGCTGGCATTACAGGTGTGAGCCACCGTGCCTGGCCAGGAAATAAAATTTTCAACGACAGCGGATGTCAGTCCAGAGTTCCTGCTCCCTCCTTCCCCGTCTCACTTTCCGCCACCAGACCTGCAATGGACCGCGAAGGGCCCGATTGCCCAGGGACACTTCAGTCCTCTGGCTCCCGTCCCGTTGTGTTCAGCTCCCGAGTTTCGAGATCGTCTTCCTCCCTCGCCTGGGGCTGACGCTGCCTCCCCGGACATGGGGTGCACGGTCTCGCTGATGCCTTTGGCTCTGCCACCCCCACCCCGGTCACTCACTCAGCTCTGGCCCGGTGCTCTTCTCAGCTGCTGGCTGAGCTGACGGCGCGACCGCTTCTCAGGCTCCGTCTGGAGGAGATGCCGCCGTGCGGGCCCGCTCCTTCCGGTTCGCTTCCGAGAAGTGTTGATCGGCCAGGGACTCGGCGGCGAGCACCCCACCCCGCCGGCCCTGGCATACTGCGCCCCCTGGCTTTGGAGACAATCTGGGACGCCCTCAATGTCTTCCTGGTGGAAGCCCCCCTTCTTCCTCTCGCACACGTCACCCCGTGTGTCCCGGCCTCACCTTCCCTTCCAGACGTGCAGGCCGCCCCTCCGTTCACGATGCATTTACAGTGAAGCGCATTCCGCTAAGCGCTGGCGTTCAGGGCCTCCTGCAAGCGGCTCCTTGAAGGGCACTGCGATTCCCTCGTGTCGTCGTTTGCCGTGGGCCTGGGACATGTTATTCCTTTAGGACATTTTTTTTTTTGAGACAGAGTCTCACTGTGTCGCCAGGCTAGAGTGGTGCCGTGGCGTCACGCCTAGCTCCACAGCAGCCTAAGATCCTGGGCTCAAGCATCCTCCCGCCTCAGCCTCTGTAGCTGGGACTAAGGCACGCCTACATGCGGCTAATTTTTTATTATATATCAGTTTGGCCAATAATTTTGTATTTATAGTAAGAGACGGGTCGTCTTGCTCAGGCGGTTTGAACTCCTGACCTCAGCATCTGCCTTGCTTGGTCCAAGCTGCTAGGATTAGGCGTGAGCCCTTTAGGACATTTTTAGGGAAGCGTCCCTGTGGTAACCGCTCCCCAGGCGGGCGGGCAACCCACCCACCCCCACCCCTTGGCAGGCTGCACGGGACAGACCTTGGACTTGGCAGCTTGGCTGATCACTCTTGTGTATCACTCTGGAACCTTAGGACGAAGGCCAACCTTCCTTTTT